GGCCGAGGTTGGGGGGGGGGTGTAGTCACCTGGAACAGTCCTGATCATTCAGTGTGGGGAGACAGAGGGAGGGGAACAACTCCCAGAGAAGTGGGGCACCCCAAAATGCCTACTCCAAGACCCTCCTGAGGCTGGAGCCAAGAGCTGCTGAGGCTTAGAATCTTTTTTTTGTTTGTTAATCTTCACTAGAGGATTTTTCCCCCATTGTTTTGTTTTTTGTTTGTTTTTTTAGAGAGAGTGGGAGGGATGGGGAAGGGGAGAGAGAGAGAGAGAGAGAGAGAGAGAGAGAGAGAGAGAGAGAGAGAGAGACATTGATGATTGGTTGCCTCCTGCACACACCAGGTACATGCCCTTGACCTGGAATCAAACCCTGGACCCTTTGGTTCTCCAGTCAACACTAACCACTGAGCCACACCTGCCAGGACAAGGCTTAGGATCTTGACATCAAGAACAGAAGAGTGGTGATGTCTTGAAATGGTCCAGTTGCTTCATTGTAGAATCACAAAGTCCTGGCCACAGAGAAACTTGAAAACTCTCAGAATTCAAGAATTCAGTCCTGGTTATCGCAGTCTCAGAACAGTGACACCCCAGAACCCTAGAGCACGGAAGGTTTGAAGAATAGGACTTTGCAATTAAAAAGTAGCACAGACCCTGGTTATCAATGGTCCTTTTCCCCCCTTATTATTAAATGTATTGGGGTTACACTGGTTAACAAAATTATACAGGTTTCAGGTGCACAATTACTGATTCTTTTTAAAAAAATTGATTTGAGAGGGAGGGAGGGAGAGAAACATCAGTGTGAGTCGGTTGCCTCCTGTAAGCGCCTCCACTGGGGATCAAACCCGCAGCCTGGGTATGTGCCCTCACCAGGAATCAAACCCGAGGCGTACCCTGCAGGCTAGGCCTAATTACTGATTCTTCCCGGGGATCTAACCTGCAACCCAGGTGTGTGCCCTTGACCGGGAATAGAAGCAGGACCTCCTGGATCCTAGGCCAGTGCTCAAGGGCTGAGTCACGCCCGGCCGGGCCAAATTTATATGGAGTGTTTCCTTCCAATCTTTTGGAAGTCACTGACGTCCCCCACCCTGTCGCCAGGAGATGCGCTCGGTGCTGCGGAAGGCGGGCTCCCCGCGCAAGGCCCGGCGCGCGCGTCTCAACCCGCTGGTGCTGCTGCTGGACGCCGCGCTGACCGGGGAGCTGGACGTGGTGCAGCAGGCGGTGAAGGAGGTGAGCGCTGCGGGGAGCCG